CCGAGGCAGGGTGGGATGAAAAGGCATTGTGGTGACTTCCGTTCAGACGCGCGGGGACGTGTGAATGAGATGGTGGGGAATGAGGAATTTTGTCAGGATTTGAGTCAACTTGACAGGATGTCTGTTGTGGTGATTTAAGTGCATCTTTTGAACATGATTCCTCAAGACCAACAGACATCCGGTCAGTCTGTTTTGGAGGACTGTTGGGGAACTCATACGGGTCCAGTTTGTTCAGACAAGTGTTTTTTCTTTTGGAGCTCGCAATTCTGCATTCACTCAAGTCCTTGGGAACAAAGAGTTTGTGTAGAACAAGGTCCTTTGACTTTAAGGCACCATTAAAAAGATGAGAATGTCCATTGGTGAGGGCGGAAGGGGCTTTGATGGATTCCCCTATCAAGTCTGCTGCTGAGGTCTGCAATGATCCATTCCTGAAAGTTAGCCACAAATTGAAATGATGACTAAGAAAAAAAGAAAGGACATTTAACAGTCCACACAGAAACTGATATTTTTCCGCACCAAACTTATCCAAGTATGCCTTCACGTACAGTATCTTGCTTTGCACACAAGTTGGCAAAGTCATGCTAAAAAAGGACAGCGAACGGGAAAACATGAATTGGAAAAAAGGGAAGTGCACGCACACACACTGACAATGTTTACTAGAGGAAAGTTGACTTTTCTTTTTTTCTTAGCAACTAGTCCTAATGCTCCAACAAAATTTGAAGGCTCTGTTGTTTCCAAAGACATACTCACACTCTTATTTCAACTTCCTTGTGTCTCTGGTGTGTACTGCAGGAAGTCTGAGGTTCAGGTTGGTCCACACTCTGTGCCTGGAGAGCATGAGGTGATAGCACTCCCGATTGTGGGCGCTTTAAGGGGCTCGATTTAAATAACGGGGTATGGGAATTGGAACTGCTGCAGTGTCTCGGTTCGACACTAAAGTGGCTGTGCTCAGGGTCTGGGTGAGAGGATGCTGAGGTGCTAAGATGTGGGTGGGGTGAGGGACTCTTTTGGTGGGCGCCTTGTTGTTTGTGTGAGGGGTAACTGGAGTTCAAAGTCTCCTGGTTAGGAACACTGTGATGACTGTGACTAGGTCCAGCGATGCCCGGGGTCTGACACTGCTTTGTAGCCGGAAACAGGGGTCTTTTGTATTTAGCGTACAGTTGGTAGTGCAAGTAAGGAAGGAGCTGTCCAGCTTTAATGCTTTTTTTGAAAAAAAAAAAAAAAAAAAAGGAAATTAAAAGACAACACTAATACATTGATGCGCATATGTTCTGATGATGTGTGCACTCTAGATGACCTCACCTGTCAGTGATCCAGCCAGGCTTGATGACCTTTTCCCCTCTCAGCTCCTGAATTTTGCTGTTTGGCAAATTGTTGGCAATGATGTGGGTGGTCTTGGAACGGGAATAGTAGGTGTGGAACTGCCCGCCATGTAACATCATCAGCCTACGGAGCTCATCTGCACTTGGTTCTGCCCACAAAAGACAACATGACTAGTTCATCTTCTGTAGCAGTTATCCTCCTTTGGGTCTCAAGCAGCGCCGCCCGTCCCAAAATGCAGAACACACACTGTGCGTAGGTCCTCATCCTCCCGCGGACTGGGGGATTCACATTTTGCACAAAGGGATGCATTCGCGTAAATGCACGGTGGATGTGGATATGCGCACTGCGTGCTGATATGCACATCCAATGTTACCTGTGTAGCCGTTAACATAGATTGCCACTCCAGAGAAAATGTTGGAAGGGTTGTCTTTCTGTTTCTCTCTTGGAGCGTCGCTTTTGAACTGCTCCTCCAACTTTGACACCTTGGCGGCCATGTAGCCTCCCTGCAAACAAGAATGGGAATGATTGAGAATAGAAAATGCGTCCACGATGTGACATACTACTTATGTCGGGAATGATAACACAAACACAGAACGCATACGTTGCGTCTCAAAATTATGACAGCCAACAAACCTTGTGAGATGCGAGCTCAACTAACATCTTAAAGGATTAACTCATGTGAGTTTTGCTTTTTGAGGGCTTTTTGGGATTGAACATGCCATAGGAAAGTTGCATACAGTGATCGATACTCCGGCTTCTCAATACAATGTGGCTAATGCAACAATAAGGTAACATCAAAAGCCAAAAAACCCCAACAAAGCCTAAAGTCAGCTGTTACTTCGTCATGATTGTATTTATTTTGTAAATTGTAGGGGTTTTTTTTCTAAACAAGTGGTTGATATGTTTGTTTGTTTTTTACACTTGTACAACGTTAAAAAGCACAATGCACAAAGTTGTGAGTTTTTATTCTATTTTGTTTTTATGTATTAAAAAAAAAACAGTAAACTTGTAAAGAAGTTCACACTGTGACAAGGTGCTCACCCTCTCAGCCCAACCATTGTCCCCACTGGCATTGGCTTTCTTCTTGGTCCACACATCTCGACTCATACTGAGTTACCTGAAAACACAAATTGACACGTCAAAACTGGACAGTACAGACTGTGGCAAATGTGAGAAGGAGGCACGTTAAGTTAACGCCAAATTGACTGTTTTTCATTTGATTATTTATTTTTCATGACCTAGAAGAGATTTTTTATGCGAATAATTTCCTGCGTTTGAGTAAAAGATTTTTTTAAACGAATAATTTCCTGCGCATGAGTTTGTAAGCGATCAACAGTAAGGTTGTTCCGACTGACAAACAAATTCGGGGAACTCAGTCGTATAACGAGGATACCCTATGATTGTATGTTGTTCGTAAAGTCTGAGCAATATTAAAACAAGTCAGCCTTACAACGGCAATACGTTAGTTTTGCATGCAAGCGTTGTGTACTACTCTAGAGGCATGTCTGGGCACGTCCGCGGCTCACATCAACTTATTAAACGAAAAGCAAACCCTGGCGTGCACTTTGTTAGCTAACATTAGCCTAGCCACGACGCCACAGCTGGCAAATCGCAGAGTTCACGTCAGTTCAAGGCGAAATATTCAAAGACAGCGTGAACTAATCGCTAGGGGCGCGTTACCACCGCATAATAAACCAACAAGCAAAAACAAGTTGCCGCTGACCACACGGCGCGTTGTACACAAACGCGGCCATGTGACAAACATGGCATGTCGTGTTCCTTTTGTGCTGTCAAAATGAGCTGTTGTTAGCCACACGGCAGACTTACCACCGCATATGAAGCTGCCCACAAGCTCAATCGTCAAACCTGCGGAGATTCTCCCAGACAGTATCCGCCTCTTGCTGTCCTCGTTCCGCTGAAATAACCTTACTTAGTCATGGTCACATCCCGGGTACTTGAACACGTTCTACATCCCCACAGCTCTCCATTGCTACCGCTTCTCGGATGATCCCTTTTGCTTTCCATTCTATCTGTGGTCTGCACTGAAAAGGCGCATACAATGCAGAGTTCCGGTATATTTTCAAAATAAAACACGAGGAAAGGTAACGAATCCTTTCGTGTCTTATTGTTGCATTGGTTTTGGCAAGCAACCCAAAGTCGCTGTTTTTCAGCCTTGCTGTGGTCTAACTTGATCGAGCTTGTCCCCCATTCACCTGAATTAACTCTTGGCATATTCCCGAAACGAACAATGTAAACGAACAACACAGCCGTGTCTATGAATATGTCACTTTTGAAAGGTAACTGGCCAAACGCTTAGTGGTCGACACCCACCGTGGTGTTTAAAAAGTCATGAGAGTTAGCCTGTGTTGCTGATATTTGCACGCTATTCTCTCGCTTGCAGACAGTCGATGGGACCGTCTGGGATTTTTTTTTTTTCAATGCACAAAGTTGTGAGTTTTTATTCTATTTTGTTTTTATGTATTAAAAAAAAAAAACAGTAAACTTGTATAGAAGTTCACACTGTGACAAGGTGCTCACCCTCTCAGCCCAACCATTGTCCCCACTGGCATTGGCTTTCTTCTTGGTCCACACATCTCGACTCATACTGAGTTACCTGAAAACACAAATTGACACGTCAAAACTGGACAGTACAGACTGTGGCAAATGTGAGAAGGAGGCACGTTAAGTTAACGCCAAATTGACTGTTTTTCATTTGATTATTTATTTTTCATGACCTAGAAGAGATTTTTTATGCGAATAATTTCCTGCGTTTGAGTAAAAGATTTTTTTAAACGAATAATTTCCTGCGCATGAGTTTGTAAGCGATCAACAGTAAGGTTGTTCCGACTGACAAACAAATTCGGGGAACTCAGTCGTATAACGAGGATACCCTATGATTGTATGTTGTTCGTAAAGTCTGAGCAATATTAAAACAAGTCAGCCTTACAACGGCAATACGTTAGTTTTGCATGCAAGCGTTGTGTACTACTCTAGAGGCATGTCTGGGCACGTCCGCGGCTCACATCAACTTATTAAACGAAAAGCAAACCCTGGCGTGCACTTTGTTAGCTAACATTAGCCTAGCCACGACGCCACAGCTGGCAAATCGCAGAGTTCACGTCAGTTCAAGGCGAAATATTCAAAGACAGCGTGAACTAATCGCTAGGGGCGCGTTACCACCGCATAATAAACCAACAAGCAAAAACAAGTTGCCGCTGACCACACGGCGCGTTGTACACAAACGCGGCCATGTGACAAACATGGCATGTCGTGTTCCTTTTGTGCTGTCAAAATGAGCTGTTGTTAGCCACACGGCAGACTTACCACCGCATATGAAGCTGCCCACAAGCTCAATCGTCAAACCTGCGGAGATTCTCCCAGACAGTATCCGCCTCTTGCTGTCCTCGTTCCGCTGAAATAACCTTACTTAGTCATGGTCACATCCCGGGTACTTGAACACGTTCTACATCCCCACAGCTCTCCATTGCTACCGCTTCTCGGATGATCCCTTTTGCTTTCCATTCTATCTGTGGTCTGCACTGAAAAGGCGCATACAATGCAGAGTTCCGGTATATTTTCAAAATAAAACACGAGGAAAGGTAACGAATCCTTTCGTGTCTTATTGTTGCATTGGTTTTGGCAAGCAACCGAAAGTCGCTGTTTTTCAGCCTTGCTGTGGTCTAACTTGATCGAGCTTGTCCCCCATTCACCTGAATTAACTCTTGGCATATTCCCGAAACGAACAATGTAAACGAACAACACAGCCGTGTCTATGAATATGTCACTTTTGAAAGGTAACTGGCCAAACGCTTAGTGGTCGACACCCACCGTGGTGTTTAAAAAGTCATGAGAGTTAGCCTGTGTTGCTGATATTTGCACGCTATTCTCTCGCTTGCAGACAGTCGATGGGACCGTCTGGGATTTTTTTTTTTTTTTGTCCTCAAATGAACCCACTGGCGTCGCAGAGGCCGGATGGGACACCTACACATCATTCTGGAACAAACAGTACGTACCGTACATAATTCATAAACATACGGATAAAAGAAGAACTATCTGCAATGCGCGTGTTGACAGACTCAGAGGATTAGGACGCTTTGACCTATATGGCACGTGAGCGTCCTCATTGGCTCTTCACTGTTGCCATGGCAGCAGACATGGATGCTGAAGTGTCATACGCCTACATTTTTTTAAAGTACAGATGATGGAGAGGCTGACGTGCGCGCCCCTCCACATTTATGTAATAATGTCCACTTGAGATTTTGTATTAGCACTGTTTGTTGAATTTTGGTTTGCAGTAGTTCAGTACTGCACACAGAGATGTGTTTCTAATACTGTATTTAAAATCTGGTGTCTTAAAAGGTGATGGATTTTTCTGTCAAAGTACACAACGAATTACAGGCCAATTTACATCTGCTTGTTGTTACACTCTGGTTGAAATCGCTCGTTTTTGTGGTGTCCGTCTCATGCAAATATCAAGAATGGGTTTTGTTCGCAGGAGGACCAGGGTGGAGCTAGGGCTGGCATGACTTCGGGATTTTTTTTTTTTCTCTCCCGGAGCTAATGGGAGCCTTGACTGATACATAGAGGAATGAGAAAATATATACAGGTAAATATATTTTACAATATGAATAAAGAGTGGCTATTACTAAGTCATTAACTGCCGTGAACAATCATATTTGTCAACAAGAATCCAAAACATTTGTTGCCACTGACTAATATACAGTATTAGTCAAGTACGTTTTAAGTCCAGTGTGACAGAAAGTCTTGCCCAGCTCATCTGTGAAATTCAAGCTTCGACATAACTGTACTCGGGACTCTCAACTGTCTTTTATGTTCATATTTTGTCCTGAAAAGTTGAGCCAGTGCGAGTAATTTTTTTCATCCACTCGCACAAGTGTGAATGGTAAATCTAAACTAGACTTGAGACTTGACTTGGACTTGGCTTTAGAGACTTGTGCCCACCGTTGGGTGCCACTGCAAAGGAAAACAAGTCAAGGCCTTACTTTATTCAACACAGATATCATCACTGTTAGATGCATTTCGTAAGAAAAGGTACAAAAACACAATATGAAACAAAGAAATGAAATTAAAAAAGATCCCTCATGACAGTTTATACGTTAATATAAAGTATATTAAGATGCCGATTTGATGACCCACAATATGGACAACAGCATTTTTCTTTTTTTTGCATAAAAGTAACCATAAATATATGCAGTGAGAGAGCCACAGTTAATTTCTTTGTATTTGTTTTGCTTCAACAAGTTCAACAAATATTGTACATTAGAACAAATATTTAAATATACACAAAAGATATGAAATCTTCATTGGCCCACAATGCAAATTTGTAGAAACGATTTTGTAGATATTGAAAAACAATCACATATGAAAGGCCTCCACGCAAAAATTTGCAGACATTATAGTGACTGGGTCCTGTTTATGTCACAAGGGATTTGAGGCTTCAGATCACGATGCACATTTTTCCAGGTTCACTCAATGAGGAAGGAAGTGGAGGAGTCCTAACAATGCTCAATACTATCTCTGCAGGGACGTTCACAGTTCAGATCTCTTTCGTTCAAGGGTGGGGAACCAACGGTCTTGGGAAGCCAACATGCTCCTCATATATAATCACAGACTTTTGTTCTACTTCTGCATTATAGTTTCCATAAATGATAGGAAGAAAGTTCTCCTCACTGTCCTTGGTGACACAGAGCGCATCTTGTCCTCATTAGTTAAGTTTGGCACTAATGCGGATCCACTGAAGAGCTTGCCTGGTGTACTGGACTGCATGAACGATGCTGCTGTGAAGCGTCAATGGCCCGGATAGAGTATTCAAGTAGTTGAAGAACTCTGTTTGAAAAGTGAAGAAAAAGAGTTATTTTCAAATATTTGCAACATATATAATGTTCAATACAAGTAATATGGTGGACTAGTGGTCAGAAGAAGGCTGGGCAAACTCTTGTGCTCATAGGCCGCATTTTTATTGATTTTTTCTTAAGAGACTGATGAGGTAAAATACATTTAAAATGATTATAGTCTAGTTTAAAAAGATTAAATTAATCAGCAAAATCAAAATGAGGTACTGGGTTCTATGAATTTTATTGTGATGTATGACATTGAGGGGTTGTGGCAAACATTTCTGTTGCTGTAAGTGCTCCTGTTTCCAACTTCCTAAATATATTTTGATTGCAAATGTGGGAAGAGAGTGAAAGAGAGAGCTAGAGAGTTAGAGAGAGAGAGCGAGAGAGAGCGAGAGAGAGAGAGAGAGAGAGAGAGAGAGAGAGAGAGCGAGAGCGAGAGCGAGAGAGAGAGAGAGAGAGAGATGTCTATATGGATGAGAGAGAGAGAGAGAGAGAGAGACACGCGGTGAGCATGTGAGCTCTTCATGTTTCTACGTGACTACGGTCCTACGGTAGCTGTATTTTGGTTAATGAACAGGAGTTCATTGACTGGTGATTTAGTAATCCATAGTCGACATGTCACAGACAGACAGATGGCCAGCAAGAGTAGCAGGAGACGAACGAGGCAGCTTTGAGAGAGAGAAAACAAAAGTGCAAAAATAATAATGATGACGCCGGCAATTAAAATGGCCATCGACGGACTTGGTTGTCGATGTAGTTGTGAGTAGCTGGCTAGTCTTGGCAGCTTAAGTATACTACTACTACTACCCGTACTACTAATATAAACAATAAATGTAAAATAATAAATTTACAATGAAATAATCAATTATTATCTTATTTTTCATTGATAAATATTTCATAAACCAAAAATGAATCGTGTTTGTCATACATTTATTTTAAATTACAAAAAATTCAAAATACAACAATGAATTCTCATTTTACATTTAATTATTTACAATCATTTCCGTTCTGATAAATGAACCAATGACCAGTAGTACATAAAATAAAATAAATAAAAGACATCAAAATCCACCCCATGTGTAAAATGTTTTGATTTACTAATATTTTTTGATTTGGTGATGTACAATTCGCTATGGATGACGTTCAATACACAAACCTTTACTCTCCTTAGCCAGGTTGTCTGCAACCTCCCAGTACTCGTAGCTATACAGGACACTGTTGGTGATGTTGAGGTGGTTTGCCGCCATCTGGTGGATACGTTGAGGGATGCTTATAAGTGACGGGGAGGCACTGTCCCCATGTGAACCCCGCTGGATATGTTTGGTGGCATCGGGTAGGAGCGAAGGAGGAGGGCCTCCAGTATCCCTGCACGACAAAAGCAATAGTGATCAATGCCGGTTTGAGTCCTTGTCTTGTAGCACTAGTCTTGCTCTCCACTTACTTTCCGGTGTCATTCCAGCAAGATGGCATCAGAGGCACTTTGGGAGAAGTCTGTAAGGAGAATATGACAGCAACTTAGTCGTTGAAGGATTTTTTTTTTTTTTTCAGGGGGACTGTGGGGTGTTTAAGAACAAGCTTGCCGCTCGCCTAGTCGCAACGCGCTGGCTCTTCCCAGTGGCCGTCATGGTAATGAATGCCGGACTCGGAAGGAGAGTGTATTTGTGAGTGTCTTTACCTTAAAGTAGTCGAGCAGTACTTTGGAGTATTTCAGTGCATGATCCTTTTTCAAACGAAACATCTGCCAGTAAAGGAGGGCGAGACATCGAAAGCTGTGAACGTACAAGGACAAGTGAAAGTCACTCCAAATAGATCTTCGAGACGGATCTTTTTGGGTGAGAAGCAGACTTTCGCACCAGAGCACAGCCAGCTGTTTGTCTTCTTGTCGTGCTCCAGGACCAGAGTGGCTTTTTAGCCTCATTGCGTACCTGTAAACACATTCATAACCCACTGAATGGCAGCTCGGGTCTGTTTGTTTTCAATGAATTTCCATTGGGGAATTGTGTCACGAATCGAAAGACAAATAGTTTCACTATATTTCACTCATTTCACCATTCCTGAAAACAAGCAATATGGTGGCCCCGTAGGATTAAAAAGAAGGCTCAAAACTGAAGGGGTGGACCAAGTGAGCAATACAGGTTCACAGGTTAGAGGCTGCAAATACCGCAATTGACCCTCACTAGTGACTAAAGGCCAATAACTTGAGAATTTAACAAAATTTTTAAAAATTCAACATCTCTCCAGCGATGATGTGACTGACAATGGTGGTCTGTCTCTAAATTTGCTTTTATGTCCTTTTGCTATATTGTACGAATTAACCTCAATTGGGTCACTGGTAAGCTTCAGCCTGTCCCAGCTATATTCGGGAGAGAGGTGGGCAAATGGTCGCCGGACACTCACAGTTAATTCAATTTAACTCTGAATTTACTGTACTAATATTAATGCCTCAAAGGGAAAATCCAATTTGTATTTGGCATTTAATACTATTTTTTTGATAGTGCTAAGTGCAATTTTCAAGTTCACCTTATAAGCTCCACTGTCTCCGCGTACATGGTGTAGGGGGATTTTGCCTCCAGTGGGCCTTCCTCCATCGCTTTGCCACATTCCATGAATGAGAGAGCAGCATCGACGTAATTCACAGCCTTGCCCAGTTTGTCCACCTGGAACACATGAAGGAGGGGACAGAGGCTAACGGTAGCAAAGACCATGGCAACTAGTTGCCATTTTCTGGAATTTTCCGAAAAACATGGAACGAGCAATTTAATGACTTCTAAAATTGTCCATAACAAATAATTTCACCCCCAAAAAAATAAAACAAAAAAAAACTATTAATGACTAAAGCATATGACCTATTTTACTACTCTTCTCATTATGGTAAATTACGATCACTGGGCCAAATTTGAGCATTTTTTTTCCTCTCTCCTTGTATCAAAGTTAACAAAGGGACAAACGTTGACTGAATTTTGTTTACTTATTATTTCATAAACTCCTTCAAGCCTTTGCCGTACATCTTCATATGAGAGAGCAGCATCGACGTAATTCACAGCCTTGCCCAGTTTGTCCACCTGGAACACATGAAGGAGGGGACAGAGGCTAACAGTAGCAAAGACCATGGCAACTCGTCGCCATTTTCTGGAATTTCTGAAAAACATGGAACGAGCGATTCAAAGATTTCTAAAATTGTCCATAACAAATAATTTCACCACCCAAAAAAACAAAACAAAAAAAACTATTAATGACTAAAGCATATTACCTATTGTACTACTCTTCTCATTGCAGTAAATTACGATCACTGGGCCAAATTTGAGCATTTTTTTGTTTCTCTCCTTGTATCAAAGTTAACAAAGGGACAATCGTTGACTGAATTTTGTTTACTTATTATTTCATAAACTCCTTCAAGCCTTTGCCATACATCTTCATATCAGTTATATTACGTAGTGTGTACTCTGCCTTCTAGATCCAAAATGACTAGTTAGTCGAGAAAATTTTGCTTTATTAGGCTTCTGAACTCACCATGGCATCGGCACGGTGCTTCATCCTTTTGGCTTCGTGCAAGTAGTACTCGGCGTGGTGAGGCCTGGAAAGGTGGGACGCATACACAAATGAAAGAGCGGATCAATTAGTAAATCCTTATGATGTGGTGTCCTCCATAATGATCGCTCACGTTTCTGTATTTGGCACGGCTGCTCGGTGTCCTGCGGCGGCCCAGGAGTCCGACAAAGGTTTTCTGGACACTTTTACACAATCCACCTCCTTTTTTGGCTAAGGGTGCAAGTGAAAAAGAGGAATAAAGATAAACGGTTCCGGGATGACGAGGCTGGAATGAATGGCGTGGGAAACATTTAAAACATAATGCTGCGCTATTCAGTGTTCATCGTTTTGTGTTACCTTTAGTGCTGAAACTCTGTTCTTATCTCTGTTCTTGTGATAAACCTCGCCATTTTTTGCTTTGGATGTGAGTTCGATGGTCTCTGGGCTGTCAGACAACGGTGACAGGGGAGATAATGGCCGCTTATTGTCCAAGTACTCTTCCAAATATCTGTCAACAAACAAGATGCACATTGTCAAGGGCACCAGGGATTTTATTCGGGATACATGCTCAATTAGATAAGATGCATTTTGGGGAAATATTTGTTGCAGATTTTTTGGTGGGGTAATGTTTGAATGTCCTTATCTTTGTGTTATGTTGGAATGTGTACTGTGTAAAAAAACAAAAACTCATGTCAAAAAATCATATGTTGATTTTTGCCGAATTTAAAAGAGCTAATTTTGGCCAGGGTGGTCCGGTAGTTGAGTGGTTAGCACGTCGATTTCACAGTGCAGAGGTACTGGGTTCGATTCGAGCTCCTGTGTGCAGTTTGCATGTTCTCCCCGTGCTTGTGTGGGTTTTCTCCGGGTCTTCCGGTTTCCTCCCACATTCTAAAAACATGCATGGCAGGCTGATTGAACACTCCAAATTGTCCCTAGGTGTGAGTGTGAGCGCGAATGGTTGTTTGTTTCTGTGTGCCCTGCGATTGGCTGGCAACAGGTTCAGGGTGTCCCCCGCCTACTGCCCGAAGACAGCTGGGATAGGCTCCAGCACCCCCTGCGACCCTCGTGAGGATAAAGCGGTTCGGAAAATGAATGAATAATTTTGGCCAGTGAAATTTGTCTGGACCTCCAGGCCCTGCTAACATGGATTTGAAATGTGTGAGGAAGTTTGAATGACTGGAGAAAAGCCCCACAAGCACGTAAACAAGGTGTGAACCTCGGAATTGGAAATGTTTCCAGTATTTGGCTTACTTATTTGACTTCTCGTTAGGTTGTACTGGTGCACCTAAAGTTGTGTGATCAGTGTATGCAGATGCAAAAAAAAAAAAAAAAATGCATCCCAACTCTTACCCATTATGCACGGTCTCAGTTGAAACGCCGCGCTCGGCCACATGCGATGATGATTCTGTGCGACCGGTAACGTCTTTCGCATGTGGCGTGTTCCTCTTGCTTTCTTTGTGTGAGACGCCAATCTCCAACTAGGCACAAACACACACCCAGTTCGATACTTACATGGAATTGTTGTAACTTTCAACTTGTCCCATTGGGCAGTGCCACGGTGAGTTACTTGAATGTTTTGTTTTGGCACACTTTTTTTTCTCTGGACGATGCAGGTGTCTTATGGAGTATTGTAAACAGTTATTTCACGTACGCTCACCGACTGCCCAATGGCTGGACATGCGGCACTACAATATTACAATGACGGTCGACGTCAACATTGGGCGACAGTATGTTTTAATGGTGAGAAAAAGGATCAGCGACAGCGGACTTTTTTCTTCAGTCGTCCACATGCTGATGGGGCGTGGAGTTGAAGCGCTACTTGCAACTTTAGCTTAAGCTCTCCGACTGAATTAAGAGCCGCATGGGAGACGGAGTTGGGGCGACAATTTTGGATTGAGGACGATTGATCCTAATGCCTTGACTGCGCTTTTTGGAGTACACCCTTGTCCTTAATCTCTTCCTCAATGAGAAGAGTTTAATAACATTCAAAACGTTACTTTCCAGGATGTTAACATGGTTGAGGACCGAGGTGGAAGTCTCCCAATTCCTCATACCTACACAGACTGTATTGGGGAGGTACTCTACTTTCTTCAACTGGAGAAAATGGACTCGAGCTAAGAATACGACATTGGTAAGATTTGAATTCCCTTTTTGTATTTTGTTAACAATTCAAACACACCGCAATAATGTATTGCCTTGACTGCGCTTTTTGGAGTGTATATTGGTCTTTATATTAATGTTTAAAAATCTTTATGTCATAAAATGCTTTGACAGACTGTCAAGTGCCTGCTGAAGCAGCAGGTGGTGCTGTACCCCCAATAATGAGTCTAGTTTAGCCAGGTAGCAGACATAGCAACTAAATGAATGTTTGCTAATTGAGGAAAATGGAAATAACGGATGGAAAGTGACAGAAGTTACATCTCAACATAATAGTTTAGTATTTATATATAACTGAACATTAACGTTTAAAGTCTTCATTCTAATCTAGTTTCATCCAAAAAGTCTATTTTCAGTCTACTAAAATGTCATTTTCATGCTGACAAAATTGCTCATTTCAAACTGCATTGACCAAAAAAAAAAGTGTTTTAATAATGCTTATTGTTTGGGAGGACCTGACCTTAATTAAAGAAGGCTAATGGGTACCTTGCGTTTTCTTTTGCTGTCTTTGGAGACAGCATCTGCCATACACAGATGTTTCATAGCCTCGGTTTGTTTGTCTTTTGTCTTCGAAGAAGAAGAAGAGGAGGAGGAGGAGGAGGAAAAGTTAGTGGCTTTAAAGGTACAATTAACAGCGGAGTCCGGGACCCTCTTGAGGAGACAGAGGTCTATGTGCACCACCAGGTTTCTCAGTCCACGTTGGGAAGGGGCTGCGGCCTGCTCGCTTCGCCCGAACGGGACCAAAGTGTAGAGTCGGTGCCTGGTCGTACGCTGCTGCCCCGCGGCTGGGCTCTCGGAGGTCTTTTCCCTGGACTTACTGGCATCGGGTCTACCGGAGCTGTTTTGGCATTTCCTGTGGAGTCTATGGAGTGAAGTGGAGTCTGCCGGAACCTTGGCGACTTGTGTCTGATATTCCGAATCGGAATTCGACGAAGCAAAGGATGAGGGGGACTGTCCTTGAGCAAGAGGGCTGAGTGAAGATGAAGACCCTCGCTGCTTTGTCTGCTTCTCGGTTCTTCTTTGGGGTTGCGCGTGATCCTGATGAAGGTGTCGCTCTTTGGACTGGATTGTTTGGCACCCGCGGATTTGTTGTTTCTCCCGAGGCCGCCTCCGCTGCTTCTCTACAACGACCACCTCCTCTTCCTCCTCTTCTGTAGAACTCTGGATCCAGCGATGTCTCAGGAGCTGCTCCTCCGCCAGCCTCCTGTCTTCCTTTCTTTCCTCTGTCCTGTTTCTGTCCTCTCTCCTTCTGTCTTTCCTCCCCTCAGCTTCGGTGTGAGGAACGTCTCTGTGGACCACCTCGCGTTTCTTGGCCCGTGTTTGCTTGTGTGATGCTTTACAAGAATTCACATTAACAGCACTTGATTTGGCCCACGGTTGTAGGTTAGGAGCTGGTCTGGAGTGATTATTACCGGCAGCTTTAGCGGTCGGACCTTGACCGGCGCTGGTTTCACGGCCAGTTGGAAGATGCTGTTGAACTGGAGGTCGAGTCCTGTGGTCAGAGCTGTGGCCGGGTCGGCTCCTCTGGATCTCCTCGGATTGTGATGTGTGATTGGCTGGCTTTTTAGTGCTTGAATGGGAATGCTTCTGTGGTCTGTGACTATCACTGCGGTTTAAAACGGCTTTGGATTTGTTTTGTCTGTGGTCTCTGTATTCTGTGGACCTCGCCTTGGGCCTGTGCTGATGAGGGAGAAGCTCTGTGCTATTTGTGTGCTTGGTTTTGGCGTCAGCGTTAGACAATGGGCCAATCTTTGACCTAACTTTTGTCCTGTGGGGAGGTGGTGCTGGGTACAGATCGCTTTGAAGCTCAGGGTAGTGGTAACCTCCCAAAGGAGATAAAGTGGGACTTAATTGAGGACCTCTCTGATTTGGCTTTGGGCTATGCTGCGCTCTCGGGCTCCCGCATGGACTTGGAAATACACTTGGAACTGGACTCACTATGGGACTGTACCTGCTATTGCTCGGACTTGGGCAGGTGCTGGGGAGTGGACTCGGACAGAAGCTGTAATCAAGACTCAGCAAGGGGCTGCCGGGCCTGTAGCTCAACTGTGGGCTGGGAATGGGCCTCTGGCTAGGGCTGTATTCCTGATTGCTGTCCCAGCATCTTGCTGGAGACGGCGCTTGGACCGTGTGCGGAGAGGGTGCGTTTCCAGGAATGCTACGGGTGGGATAATTGTCACTATGAGCTGCCTTTTTGTGGGACTTCCTCAGCCACTTATCCAATTGCCACTGGGCAGTTGTGGAGGGATCAGTCTGCAGAAATCATCGAAGAAAATGCAACATCAGAGTAGAACTCGTTTGGAACCTAAATTATTAACAATTGCACATAAAAGCTGAACTGGATCCAGTCTCGACAAAATCAAATGCATACTCTCAATGTTTTATTTAACTATGTTGAAGAAAGAATACACTTCAAACAAATCTGCACAGCAGCAGTACATTCCATACCGGCTGGCTGCCAATTACCAGCACCGCAGTGAATATTTGTTCACATAAAGCAACACATAAACACGTAACCTCTAAGGTTGTTTGCGCCAGGATGTTTAACTATTAGTCTCATAGGAAATAAAGAAAACATTCTATACTTGTCACCATCATAAAACCTTTAAAGCTTGCTTGTACAAAGTACCAAAAGTAACATTCTAACTGTAATCCATCTATGCATTATCTCTGGCGCTTGTCATCGAGAGGGTCGCAGGTAAGCTTGAGTCTATCCCATCTGATTTTTTTGGGGCGATGGACTCGTCGCCACTCAGTCGCAGGGCACATTTAGTCAAGCATTCACATTTAAACCTATGAACAATTTAGAGAAAAGTAAAATAGTCATTTTTAGATTCCTCACGTCCCACTTTTTAAAATCATTTTTAAGCTGTCAAACAAGTCGAAAAAGAAGTTTAACCCTGTAAAGTATTCGCACAATGATGTTGCATGAGGTAACACTGGAGTCTTACTACATTGAATAAATCAGTTCATGGGAAAATCCTTTGGCGCTCACTGGACTAAAGTTTTTCGTGACAAGCTCAAGAAATATATTTCCATTCCATCTTTAAAACTTTCTATTCCACAGATAGACACATTGGTACTTCACAGACCTCAAAGGAAGTTCCCAATAAACACCATCTAAGTTCCACAGAGAGATGAATTTGGATCACTGGATTCAGAGTTCAGAGTGCTAACCATGACACCGTAACACAACAACTAAATGTTCTCACTGCTTTTCCTCAACTTCATATATGGGCTGCCAGCTACACAACCCGTCCAATGCTGTCAAATAACTCCGTGTTTGCAAATGAGTGACATGGCAAGCATACGAGTGAATACGGTCGAGAAAAAATTTTCGGAAAAATACTTACAGCTGCGGAGCAAACGTCCCCCTGCTCCCCGTCTCGCTCAGTCTCACGCCTTCTCTCGGCTTCTCCCTTCCCTCTGGCAGTGGAGCAGCAGCGCTAATATTAAACTTCCACTCCTGAAGTCAAACAGCGAGCCCCCTCTTCCCCGCCACATCCCTCGACCTCTTTCCAGGGAAGACACTACATCGCTTGTACCGTCTCGACTCCCCTCCCCTTTTCTTTTCTTCTGGCCCTTCCTACCTCTTTCGTACCTGTAAGTCCGGACTTGCTGCCTGAAGAGCTCCAACCCTCGTCTCGTCCTTTCGGAGACACTCGGCGTAAATGAAAAACACATGGTCTAACCCCCCCCCCCCCCTTACTCCACGCACCCACAGCCTCACATAAACTCCACTCCCCATTTTTGCCATAGAGGCCCAATGTGTTGCATGCTGGGACATCTACAGGGCCTTGCTTTCATGAAAGAGGAGCAGGTTGCCCCTTCGTCCCCCCCCCCCCCCCCATACCAAACATCCAAAACAAAAACAGCCCTCCCAAAACCACCACTCTCCACAGGATTCCACCTATACCATGCTTAACACATCAACACTAACGATGTAACCATGTAACCCTCGGAACTGGAAGGATCCAGCTCCGTTTGCCATTTGAAAAAAAAGACGGTCCTAAACTGAAATATGAATCCAGACCGCAAAGAAGCAAATCTGCTATCCATCCCTCTTTTAAATTGTTTTCTTTTTGAAAACAGACCTGAAAAGTAATGTTTGATTCTTGTGTTGTTTGTATATATCCGCTATTGGCTGGCAACCAGTATCCAGCTTCTCGCCCAAAACCATCTGGGATATGTTCCAGCTCACCCAGTGACCCTCGTGAGAATGAATGCCATGAAATTGGAAGGAACAAGCATGTTAAATTAATTGAGTTAGTTATTTAAGATTTTCAATTGTCCATGTGTGTGGGTGTGAGTGTCTTTATGTGCTCTGCAATTGGCAATCCCGTCTATCAACCAAAAGTGAGCTGGGTAAAATATATTTTAGCAAAAAATATTTTAAAAATTGTTTTGGTATTTACAAATACTTTTCATTCAGGGCAACTGTGGCATAGACCTTCAATTTGTTAGTCACTGATATTATTGTTACAATGGTAAAAGGGACAATGGTAGTGTAGTTGTTCACATGCAGTGAATCACTTGGGATCAATTCTAGCCAAAGGGCAGCCAGTCCTGGGATATAGTATGTATTTGGTCTTCTTTAATAATAATTCAGCTGGGATAATTGACTGGGCTAGCTGTACTTACACTGGGAAACATTGCCACCTGGAAGGCGCTTGTGTTCCACTTCTGTTGTATTTTTGATTATCCGAGTTCGGCCCTGACTGGCAATCGCTCCAGTGTGTACCCTGACTCTTGCCCAAAATCAGCTGGGATAGGCTACCCACAACCCTAATGAGGTCAAGCGCTTTAGGAAATGGATGGCTGTCTCATCCTAAGTGTGTGCTGTTGTTATGTCTGATGTCAACACGACTTCCCTTCCTGAGGGCTTTTGTTTCGTAAGACTCAGCCTGTTGACATGACACCCAGGCACTAATTCCCAAAGCTACCGCTGAACTACACAGCCCCCGGAGCTACTTCCTCCGCCTTTTTTTCTTTCTTTTTCAAAACTCACACTTGCATTCCTACTTCCTCCGTCAATCCCACACCTGCCGTCACAAGTGCCTCCAGGCCACCGCTCCCACATGATCAAGACAACGGATGGTAGACAGAAAAAGAAAAGACAGGTAGAGGCTGAAGGAAAGGAGCTAGCAGCTGCCCTGTGCTCTTACCTCCTTGTTGCTGCTACATGGGGACTGTGCATCTGCGGGCCAAGCAGCTGGGCTGGAGCTCCGGGAATGAAGGCTGCCGCTGACCGACTCCACGGTAGAGTGGGATTGCAAGGAGTCTGAGCTGGAATGTCTCGTCCTCCTGCCATTTTTGCGTGACCGGCTGTCCGTCAGCACACACACACACCAACAGAAGGAAGGGTTAGAAAAGTGCTCCTTTTATGGGTCCACAGAGATATGAACATTGAAAATGAGCCAAAAGTGGATATCTGAAGTACCTGCCGATTAAAAAAAAAAAAAAAAAAAAAAAAGGATAATTTAAG